GTGCCAGAGGCATTTTCTAATAATGATAATTTTATCTTTGAATGCACAACAATTTTTAAACATTGGATTTCCCATCTAGTTATATTTTTTATTTTAATTTTTATAATTCATTCTCAAAACAGTGAATCTCTTGCTGACTAATATAGGTAAAAATGATGCCTCTAAACTAAGTCTTTAAATGAGGTTTGGAGATTAAAATTATTTGTTGCAGTCTTAAAGTGCTGTCCAGACGATTACATTACCTCATGATCATGTATAGGCACATAATGACAAAACATGGGCATATAAGGCCATATAAAAAAAAACAACAGTTGATCATCCTAGTTTTTTCACAAAAGGAAGAAAGAGGCTCTTTTTATTTTTTATTTTTTATTTTCTAAGACGCGTTACCGTATTTATTTGAAACACCACCCTCACCCTCAAAACACTAAATCAGAAGATGAAGACGCTTCGTACCGTTAGACTCTGAATCCAGTTTTTTTATGTTTCGCTGCACTATCTTTAACAAAGAGTATTCAAACAGCGGATGGGCTCAATTCTAAATTAATCCAGCCGTTTATGAAAATGTCGTAAGCCATTAACAAAGTGTGTATTCTAAAATGGACACACAACGGCGGCGTAGATATTTTTATTAAAATAAATGACCTCCTAAATTCTGAGAGGTCAATAACGAACGACGATAGCTGGAGGACCAGCAGGAGGCAGCGATGCACCACGAAAACGGAACTCCTAGGCCTAGATTGGCCTAGATTTTGGTAAAAATTACGAACAAATAGTTATTTTACAATATTTGTGCCAAAATATTAAATAATAAATAAATCGATGCGGCCTAAAAATAGAATGCGGGCGGGGATGATCAACTGTTTTTTTTTTTTTATATGGCTTAACAGTTTTTTTTTTTTTTTGTCGTCAATTTGAGTAAACTGGATTCATAGGATTTGAACATAAGGAAGACCTAAAGTTTGCAAGTCAAAAGCATGTTAACCACTGAGTTGTACTGTAGCTTCCCTCCCATTTTGTCCTTTGAATTCTTGATGCTAAAAAGAGGTAGAAATGAGTGCCTCAAATCAATAACAATAACATCTATCATAAATTATGGGAAAACATAAAAATATTAGAAAAAATGTATTAAGAAAGAAATCTATTAGAATTTGACCAAATATTTAGTCAGTTGACACAAATTTTAATACAAAAATCCTTATATTGGTTTATAACCAGCAATTCGAAAGGTTCTGTAGCTTAATATGGATACAGTAGTGTACTCAAATACAAGTGAAACTCAACAATTAACATTGTGGCTTGTTCAGGTGTAAAGTTATTCTTGACTATTGCCAGAGAGCTGACAACAAAAGCGGTCAAATCCCTGTACATAATGACATCTAGGGTAAACAAGAAGCTACATTGAATGTATACTTTATATCACAATTCAAAAAATTTGAAAAGACTAGTAAATATTTTCCAGAGTTATTCATGTTTGTATGGTTGTCGAGCAGACAACAAAAGAGGTCACATTCCTGTACATAATGTCTTCCATAGTATACAAGATGCTAAAATTAATATATACTTTAAAATCACAATTCAAAAAAACATTATAGGAAGAATAATAAATTTCATCCAGAGTAAACAGGATGTTACCATGAATGTATAATTTTAGGTCACAATTCAAAACACAAAAAGAAAAACAATTTTAAAAAGAATAATAAATGTATTGTTTTTATAAACCTGGTAAACATTTCAATGTGTGTTTTATTTTCAATGAGGTGTAAACTGTCTATTTTCAAGTATCAAAATACAACTACATCATGACTTTGATAGTTGCTTCCTCATTCTGTGTTCTGATTGGCGCGCACTCTGACGTCTAATGCTGGCTAAGTTTTATTTTCCATTGGGTTTTCCATGTGACATTCGGTAATTTTACAACCAACGGACGTTAATTCTCCTTTATATATATTATTTATCTTACTAAATCAAGACTACAAAATATTATTTGATGAACAATCTTTTCACATGTGTGTATTGCCATTGAGGACATCGTTTTTTGACATTTTAAATGAGGTAAAATAATTGTAAATGAAAAATAGCTAGGCCTAGTCTAATTAATTAAAAAAAATAATACAGCAGTACAAACAAGTTCCTGTAGTGGACAGCGAGTGGAAGAGGATCGTCCCATGAAGTCAAGTGTACGTTTTTCTTATTGAAAAACAGTTCCATACTTTAAATTAACGGTCTAAACTCGTGTTTGCCATTCACAAATTATCAAACAATACATTGTTTATTCCAGTAAGCTACAGCAGTCTTTCTGCACATACAAATAAACAACATGCTTTTGCTTCGTAGGTTCGCTTCGTGTAGCCTTGCTTAGATTGTTTATATCAGGCTACGAAGCCTGCGCGCAAGTTAGATTGTTTGTCAGGCTACGATGTATCTACGAAGCCTGCGCGCAGGTAAAAGTGCAATATTTCACGACTGTACTGTACACCCCTTCAGGTATTTTAATAGTTTACGAGAATTAAGGATATTAACCATAAAAGACATTTTCAAACAGTTTTCTCTCATCTTACAAGTTTACCTTTGTAATCATCTTCAAAATAGACATATTGATGTCAATATCCCTGAAAACAATTCACATTATTTTCGCTATCTTGCTGTCTTTAGCCTAGATGAATTTGAAATCATGTAGGCTTAAGTTCCAGTTTTATTCTGGCCCAGTTCTAGCATCTTCTTTCAACCTATTCTGCCAATATTCATTTAGAAGATCGCGCTTAGTTAGAAATAATATGCCAGTAGTTAACTTTTGTCGACTTTTGATGAATGCTTTTATTAGCTTAAAAGAAGTTGAGTTCAAGTACCTGGCGCATGTCATCAAATTTGTATGTTTTTAGATGAGCTTTTGCATTATGCAATGAAGCTAAAAATATACGTGTACATTTGAATAACAAATTTATTGCATGCGACTCAAATGAAAGTATGTTTGGCAGACTTAGGAAATGTTTGCTTCTGCATTCTCTTTATTAACTTAAAGTTGTCGTGCATTGAGGCCCTAGGTATACAGTATTTCACTAAGTATTAGTGTTATAGTCCATTAAAAAATTGAACTTAGCCTAACTTAGATTATGTTGTACAACCTATTCAGTTAGATTTATATTTGGGGACAGTCCTTGCTCATTATGAGAATGTTATGTTTATGAGAATTATATGTTTAATATTCTATGACGCGATTGTCCCGGAAGTTGAACAATTGCGTCTGTATCATGCCGGTGCAAATAATGTTGTGCAGTGTTTTACAATGCTGTCCGAGTTGGCCTTAATAAAGAATCAAAGAAATTTTTTCTTGCCAAGTAGTGGACATTTAATTATATAAATACATTCCTGTAATTCGTAAGTTTAAGGGTTTTTGTAGTCAAACATATTTCCATTCATTCAAGTTCAGTGAATTACCTACTGTATGTATATTGGCATATGATGATGACATATCATACACTCATGTATGCACAAATCATGTTCATGGGCAAATCACACAATATCATGGGTGCATCTTGTCCATATATGGGCAAATGACATCCATCCATATACGCCAAAATAGGCTTTTGCAAGTAGAGGGGACGTCTCTTTAATTTTGATTATATTGATATAATTTATATTTCTTTTTGTATTATTGTATTGAAATGTTAATTATCTATAAACATAACATTGACCAAGAGAGAGTATTGAGAGTATTGTCTAAACCTGTAATATTACCTTCACAATTGCAGACATTCATAACCATAAATATATTATATTTGAAAGCATGTACAAATAAAATGCATTCCATAAAATTACTTAATTTTAATCAAGATATTGGCAATGCAAAGTAATCATTCAAGATTTTTATGAAATATGTTTTTTTTTTTTTTTTTTTGCCTTTTGGAAGTTGGAAAATTAAGGGCCCAATTGATATTTTGGTAATAATTTCGTTACAGGAATGTTTGGCATTGGGCCAGGCCAACGTTAGTGGTTGAGAGGTACAAGTAATCAGTTTGTTGATAATTGATTTTTTTTTCCTTTTACCTATTTACTTCCTTCCCGTGTTGTCAACTAAATCATTCATGTTTCTAGAAGAAAACCTGCTAACAAAAATATTATTCATGAGAATTTTTATGTAAAGGCATGATGTATGCATGATGTAAATATTTTAAAAAAAATATTTTAAATAATTGTGGCTTTGGTAGATTCATAGTTTCGAAAAAAAAAAACCTTTCGATACATTCTTATTGCGTACAAAACCTTTCGTGTGGGAATTAAATTTGTTTCTACCTTAACATGAGCCCTTGATAATTCTTGCGCAACTTTGATGACACCAAGTTTAGAAGCAGCTGTTTATATTAATGACTTAACAACACGAATGATATTTAAAGATTAGTTAATTAAGGAAACAGTGGAAATGTATGATAAACATAATAGAAAATAGTTAAATTAACAATTAATAAGTTAAATTCTAAAAATAGTGATTATAATCTCATGTTTTAATCAACGATTGACAGAAACGTATTATAAAAAATAAGCGGAATTTAATTTCAGATATATTACATTGCAATGTTAGATTTCAAATCTAGCAGATAAATTTCAGCCCAATTTTTTCTATAATTAGCCAGTAATTTTGATGCTACAAATTCTTATCAAATTTTATTAGCACATAAATTGATGATGCAGGGTTAATGGTCACAATGTATGCGTGGAAAATATTAATAGGCAGACAGTAACCTGTGAGTTATTATTAGTTTGTGATGTCATGCACACATGTTGAAATCTATTCTGCCCTTGAAATGCCGCTGAAGAAGCGAGCCAAAACGGTGCAAAAAGGTGTAGTCATAACATGTCATAATGTTATGCCATAAGCCCCTAAAAGACTAGAAATAAATCAATCTAGAAATGAAATGTTTAGTAATTTTATTTAAATGTTTGAACATGTTGCAGAAGTCGGTAAACAAGCCTCTTAATTTTTTTTTTCTTACCTCTTGCAGCATCTTGGCAATGACCCCTACTGCTTCGTTGAATTCGAGACTCGAGCTTCAGCAAAGTTAGCAATGGACGCCCTCAATGGAAGGACCATTTACAATAAGGTTGGTATCAGTACTCAACTGTTTTGAGGTACTTTTTATTTTATGTTAGAATCTGTTTTTTATATAGAATATTAGAATAATTTTATTAAGTATCACCAACAATCGCTTTGGATGTTTCCAATTAGCTAACAAAAAATTAAGAAATAAAATAAAATCAAATAATATAAAAAGATATTACAGCCAAATAGTAGTAGCAAAACCAAGCCTTCGAGTATAAAGTTAAGTTTCTAAGGCGAGATTTATATATTGGTTTGCTAAAAAAAAAGGACAAAAACTTTCTTTTTATTTAGCAACTTGGTTCTGCCAACAACACATGTACGAGAAAATAAAGATAAATGAGGTAAAAAAAGTAATATAGGGTACCCTCAGCAGGGTTCTCACCAGTATTTTGGAGTGTGGTCGGTGGCCACGCCCACCCTAGGGGGCATGGTCACCGACGCCACCCTCACTCCGGTTGAAAAAAAATCATTAATTTTTTTATAGCTATATGATTGAATGTACCCATAAATCTGTGGTGTACGAAAACCATATCTTCCCAAAAATAATATTTTTGCTTGATCAAAAAAATTATTTCTACTCATTATTGAACAACGCACAGATCAAATCGACGGCAAATCAACGTGCATGAGGAATCCCCGAAATGGTTAGCATGTACTCCTGCATGGATATTTTGTAAACAGTTACGACTCAAAAAGATTGTATCACAAAGTTTGACATTCGTAAATAGCTGTGTAATTATAATTTTTTGCTTTTTTTATTAAAAGTATTTGACTTGGTACAGTTTCCTTCAATCATAAAATGAATTATTAAATCTTTGTGTAACTTTTCAAATAAGTAATATTATGAGCTGGAAGTATGTGTATTCTTTTACTCTACGACTCTACTCGTGTCATTTGAAAGACCACACTTGACAACTTATCCAGGCCTATGCCTCAACATGGAACTTCAATGCTAGTAAATGCAACCTTTAACCACGAAAAAAAAAGATATTCTTCTTGGCCTGAAAGCTTGTATTTTTGTACGATATTCAGTCATCACAAAGTAAATACAATTGTAATTATATTCAAATACATTTACCCACGTCGTCATTAACAACACAAACGTTCAAACCGTTTTAGTCGGGTCGATCTCTGACATGATGGAGTGCAAAGAATATCGAGGAGAAAGACCACCTTGTAGAGACCACGTGATCCACTCTACAGAGAATGGAGCAAGAAGTAAACAACCTTGTCCGTCATTGCATAGAATAATATGCGTGTATTTAATATAACAAATAAAGTAAGTCAAAACAAATACAATATTGTTAATTTTATATATTTAAACATATTTTCTCGCGTCGTCACTAACCTAAACAACATTGACAGTTGATTAAAGAGAAAGACCATGCTGTTCTATGTAGTGAGCACATGATCAACTCTACTGCACAGTACTAAGAACTGCAGGGTTGGGGGTGGATGCAGAGAGCGAAAATACAACAGCCTCGCTCAAGGCGTATGTTTCATGATGCGAGTAGAGTGAAAAGAAAACAATTGGTATATTTCCAACTCTTATCACTGTCTTTGGAAAGTTTACACAGTGATTCAGTAATATATTTAATGATTGAAATACATACCGACTTAAATAAGGGCTACGTTTATTAGCAAACAGTAATTATAATTTAACACATATTTACTAATAACAAACCTCTGTGGTTCATGCGACCCATTTTGGGGTTTCCCCATGTACATTGATTTCTTATTAACGTTACCATGGAGATGTTAATTGATACCTTTTGTCTTATCTAATGTAGCAAGCATGTCCATTGTCTAGCCAATAAATTGTTAATCAGCAACTCCCTACACTAGTAGTCGTGTAACAAAAGTATTTTTCTAGCCTACATTTTTTTTCCCACTATCAATTGCAAAAATAGTGATGGTCGGAAATGTTGAGTGCTGGACGGGCCCGACCAACACCGATCAGCCTAGTGAGAAACCTGCCTCAGGATAATATACTATTGTGTAGTCATAAAGAATGTGATGCTTATATTTTGGTAATTGTTAGGAACAAATACATATTTCTTGTTTAGAGATGTCATCCCTGTGGGCATGATAACAATAAACATAAAATATTTTTAAAATTTTCATATTTTTATGGCGGTGTGTGCGCTAACAGGCCAAAAATATGAATTTATATGAATTATTAGAAGGCAGCAAGTTTGTGCTATAAAAAAGTCTTGTATAAATAAAACAAGAAACATCAAAATGTGTTTGCCAGCAAACAGATGGAAATATCTAATATAAAGAACTAGGTACAGGAAGATGTTAAGAATAGGAAAAAATAGACTGGGAGCAGTCTCGCGAGTGCAACTATTCGATGGTATGGTTCAGGTGATAATAATGTGAAATGCAGTGTCTAGAATAGAAGGATTCTTCTGATTGACAAGTAGTCCATGACGAACCAACAAGTGCAAGTAAAGGGCAAGTAGAAGACATGATTCCAGTTGGTAATGGTAACTAAAAAATATGAAATACTATGTGAAGAATAGACAAATTAACCCGAGTGCATGCATGCCAGGCTGGGCTTATAGTCCAGAAAAGGCTATTGGTCCGGAAATTGGTGGTTGTCCAGAAGGGCATGTAGTAGTAGACTTACCATTGGTGTATAGATATGAACAAATCTGCGTAGAATGGACGAAATGGTTCTGTGTGTGCATTTGGTCCAAGAAGGGCAAGTAGTCTAGAAGGGCAAGTAGAGGATGATGTACTTCCAGTTGATAATATTGATAAGTTGTACACTCATCACAGTAAAAAAGCTTACCATACTTAGCGGCATTAACAGAGAGGGAAAAAATTTTTTAAAAACGTGGCAAGTAGAAAGTAATCACAACAATTTACAACAGGTGAAATGTATTGGGAGATGATTTTGAAGATATGACATTTTAACATTTTAACACACAGGAAAAAAATGTATTATGCATGAACCTTTTCAACTGACTGTTCGCTGCATCAATGAACATACGTTGTAATGTAAGGGCAACGGCAGCCATATGAACTGTGTAAATAGAATAGATTGTTATCAGCAAATATGTGCATTTTAAATATGTGATGTCACGGTATATTATGCATAGATGGTGTTGAAATGATACATTTGATGTTTCCTTGGAATATTTGAGGAGAGAAAATTATTACATGAATATTTTTGAAGATATACTCTCAGTGTTGCACTCATAAACAATAAAGTACATTATCTTTACACTAGTACTTGACTAAGGGATGCTTGAAAATAGATACCATGAAAATAGATACCACTGGATATTAACCATCTGTCTCATAAACATTGTACTGTTGTAATGTTTAAGCGTCTTGTCACATATTAAATATAAATTTAATTAATTTTTTTTTTTCATTTTTATTTGCACTTTGATCTTTTCCTTTGATCGTTTAACCTGTACACATAGTAATAATACAGTTGTGCTTAAATGCTTAATGAAAAAAAATAGAGCTTCTATGCGCTGAAGTTCAGACAAAAACAATAAGCCATTAAAGTAAACCCAGAAAAATTAGATGAACAAAAATCCTTAATATCCAAGGTGTCGCCATCCACCACTTGGCCACCAACGATGGGTACTCAGGCTTTTTTGTGAGCAAGGTAGGATGCCTAAAAAAAAAATAATAATTTGAGACTGCTTTTGGGTAGGTAATATAGTATGTCTTTAGGTTAATTGTCTTTGGGTCTTTGGGGCAATTAGAAGGTTAACTTAGAGGAGTTTTGAAATTAAAGGGATCTCAAATTGGAGAACAAGCTGTATTTAGGAACACTGGATATTGCAAAGATGAGATGAAAAGAGGTCAATCAACATATTAACAGGCTAGTCTACACTAACAATCATTGACTGTGAACATGATTATAATTTAATTGTGGGATGATGAATTGTAAGTAGCTTACCTAAAGCTGGTTAACCTCTACATGCAAGTCAGATACTATATTGCAAGTGGGTATTGTCTGTTAAAATACTTGATCTTCAATGCCAAGGTCATGGATTCAAGATTGTACCTTGTGAAAGATTAGATTTGTTCCCCACCATCACAATTAAGACTTAACAGAAAGCATAGTTTCATAGGTGATTTACTTGATCAGGGTCTTCAGTCTCCCTGGGTCATTTTAGTGTAACAGAAATTGGCATGGTCCCTACTGTGAGTAAAATTCTCCCCAAAAACCCTGCCTTTGGGGACTACGGTATGGTAGTCCTCCTTAATGATTTGCTTTCCCCACTTGGGACCACTGCCTTAAGGGGACTATGGTAGTCTGCCTTAAATTTGCAGTTATAATCTAACACACAGATGATAGCCATATAGTGTTTTTATCAATTATATAGTGTAGCCTCTAGTGTTTCAATCCATTGCATAGATCATAGGCCCTCTAGGGTTGGATTAGAACCCACTTTTCATCTGGTGTTATAATCCACTGTAGATATTGTGCCTTCTGGCTTTGTAATCCGGTTTACAGGCGATAGGCAGTCTAATATTAAGAATAATAGGCCCTCTAATTTTTTAAGCAAATGCATAGTGGGAATCCAATATAGATGATATTACTTGAGTTGTGTTCTAATACTAGTAATTGTTTTTTCTGGCTATGCTAGTTATATAGCCCCCTCTATTGGATTGTGCTAGATAATTCATGATGTGGAATATAAAATATTTAAAAAATCAACTTTTATTATTAGTGAATGTATTTCTTTCATTCTTAAGGAGTTAATGTGTGACAATGGGAAAAGTATTAGAAGTAGTAATATAAATGGAAATAATATATTTAATAATACAATTATAAAGGATAACAGATTAAAATTATGTATCAATTTGAATAATTAAATACATTCTTATATCAATACACATTATTAATATATATAATTAATAATTAACTTAATTATATGCTTGATATTAATGGGCAAGATAACAGAAACGTTATTCTTCCTTATAAAACATACAAAGCAAGAGGCAATAATAACACGTCTACCAGTATTTAATACCAGGCAAAGTTATCTTCAGGCTGAAAGCCTTCTAATTGTGT